CTGCTGCTGCTGCTGCTGCTGCTGCTGCTGCTGCTGCTGCTGCTGCTGCTGCTGCTGGCGTTCCAAGAGTAAGTGCCGTCGAGGCCCGCGCCCAGCAGCAAAGCGCCAGTCTCTTTGTCTTGGAAAAGAATTTGTGTCTCCGGCTTGAAGAGCCAGAAGCCTGGGGAGTAGCTGCGGGGGTTTTTGCTGCTGCAGTTGAGAGCAGCAGCAGCAAAGTCCGGGCCCGCTGCTGCTGCTTCTGCTGCTGCTGCAGGCAGGCAGCTCGCAGCAGCAAACTCCCCCTCAGGCAAATGCAGATACGCCCACTGGCTCAGGTACTCTTCGTAGAAGGGGCGGTCCAGTGCAGCAGCAGCCACCCCACGGGGTCTTCTTCTGCTGTGATTGCTGCTGCTTCTTCCGACTTGCCCATTTCCTCTGCGTCTTCAACAGCAACAGCAGCAGCAGAATCGTCTGCTGCTGCTCCTGCTGCTGGCACTGTGGATTCGCTGCAGTAATTGTAAAAGTCCAGCTGTGCTGCTTCCAGCAGCAAACAAGAATTATAAAAACGCATAAAAGGACTCCGCAGCACAAAGTCTGCTGCTGCTGCTGCTGTCTCTCCAAAGAACAGCAGCAGCTCCCCCAAAGACAAACCCACCAGCCCAGACTCCATGCACCCACACTCTTCCTCCTGCTGCTGCTGCAGCTGCTCCTGCTCCTGCTGCTGCTCCTGCTGCTGCTGGGGCTGCTGCTGCTGCTGCTGAGGCTGCAGCAAGGTAATGGGCTTGTCCCAGGGGCCGTCGGGCACGGAGAGGGCCTTTGCTGCTGCCATGGATGTTCCTGCTGCTGCTGCTGCTGCTGCCGCTGCTGCGCCTGTCTTGAGCTTATGCACCACAGACACGGCAGTTTCGGCTAGCGAAGCGTCTGCTGCTGCTGCTGCTGGTGCTGCTGCTGCGGGTGCTGCGCTGCTAGTGCACGCCCGAATTGCTGCAGCAACAACAGCAGCAGCTTTTGCCGGGTCTCCACACTTGCTGCTGCTGTTGCTGCTGTCCCCTGTATGGATTTGCTGCTGC